ATTATTGTTCACAAGTGTCCAAATTGTGTTCATATGTATACTAGTTGCATATCTCAACGTTGGCCCGCTCTTGAATGTGTTCATAATGAAGGAACTATTGTTCACAAGCTGTTCATATTGTGTTCATATCTTTTTTTTTATTTCTTTCGTGTAGCAGCTATTCTTATTATGTTCATATTGTGTTCATAAATTCTATGTGTGTGTATGTGTGTATGCGTGTTCATATGGTTCTTACAATAACAAAAATCATGGAATTTTTTGATTTTGTAACTCCCAATTAATTATATGGGAGTTACATAAAAGAGAAAATTACATAAATACCCTTTTCCACTTACTTCACATATGTTTGTGAAATTGTAAATTTAAAAAATTAAAATTTTAATATGATAAATCACAACCGTTTATTATAAGAATCAATAGGCAAGATTGGTTAACAAAGTTAACACAATAAACTTGGTAAACATTTGAACCAGCCCCTATATATATAACCCCTATACGGAGCATGAGATCGTCATCCTTCTACACGATACTCTGCTGATGAGTATGTCTTACTCACTAATGGGGGAGAGCATGAGTGTTATGTAGAGGTCATGGAAGATGAGCATAAGAAATAAGAGGTTGATGCCATGTAAGATGAGATGACTTCTTTGCATGAGAACAAATTTTAGTTTTTCTTAGTGATATTTCTTCCTCTTTTCCTTTTGGTTTGATTATGTTAGGACCAAAATAGTCCTAAGTATTAGAAAGTTTTATAAAGTCATTTTACTTGTATGTATTGTAATATCATTGTAACTGGGATTAAGGGCAAATGGGCTTACATTGTAAATGTCACCTATAAATAGTTGACATGGGCTTAGAATTGTTAGTTGATCATTATGTATTCTAATGAGAGTCGTGTAAGTGAGAGAGAGCTTTGTTAGTTTACAGTTTTCATAAATAAAGATAAGTTGGTCGGTTAATCAATCTTCATGATCTTCATCTTAATTCTCTTATTTCATGTTTGTATCTTGATTTGCTGTTAGATATGGGATTTAACAATTGGTATCTGAGCAGAATCGATTCATTCTAATCGATATGATCATTCTTTTTGCAGCAATTTCAAGTGGAATTTTTCAGTTTTGCAATGGAATAGTACTCATATGAACCTCAGCTTCCTGTTCGACATGTTGAGCTTAATTTGACTAAATTCTCCATGCTTTTAAGTGTTTTAATCAAATTCGTGCAAAAGGATTTGCATTTTGGTGAATTCGAACCTATATTGATCATCAATTTTGGTATTTATTTGAAAATTTTGGATTTTTTTATGATTGGTAGTCGAACTGTGCTTTGATATTGTCAGATCCATCCTCATTGCTCGTTGAATGTTCTTGTTGAGCGATAAAAGGTTGTTCATCGCCTAATGAAGATCTGAAGCTAGATTGAGCGATAATAGAGTGTTTATCGGACAAATGATTGGTTTTTGTAACTTGGTACTGTAAACTGTTTTGAGCGATATCGTTTGGACTTGGATATATTTTTTGGCTAAGTGTTGAGTGATAACCTTTGTCATCGCTCAAGCCTCAAAGCACTGCCCGATGACCGTGCTCATCGTCCAAGTCATGGGGTTTAAATGATGATATTTGCTCAACTTTTGAGCGATAAAGGTCATCATCCCCCAATACATCAGGCGATGAAGAGTTGTTTGGTGGGCGGTGACCTTACTTTAACAGTTTTTCCTTGTTACTTATCTTGTGTGATGATGTGTTGCACGATAAACTCCCAATCCGCCCAAAGCTTCAAGGGATGATCCTTATTTGTTGAGCGATGAAAGGATGTTGGTGTATATATGCCCAAGGCATGAACAATATACTCGTTACCACCCAAAGTATGAGCGATAATATTGCTCATCGCCCAAGGCGTGGGCGATATACAGGAGTTCATGAGCTCTCCGCCTAAGGTATGGGCGATGAGATGCCAAAATCAATGCTCATCTCTCATCTCATAAGTATTTGTTCCACGATTCAATGTGCTTAAAGCGTGTGTTTAATGGATTTTTTTGCCCAATTCACCTTGTACTTAATGATTAAGGTGATGTTTTATCATTGTTGCCCTTGAGAAGCATCAAACAACAACATTGTCAACTTTGACTTTTCAAAGTCGAAGTTTGACTTTTTGGTCAACCATTTTGGAGATTAAAGTTTTAAAGACGGATTTGAATGGATTTCAGAACTGTTTGATTGGTTTTGGTATTTGATTGGACTAGTCAGAGTTTGAGTATCTGCAATCATTACTTTGGAGTTTTTCTACAATAGACTAGACTATTGAGTGCTTTCATTCATTTCTTTTGACCTGATCAATCAAAGGTCTTGAAGGTTTGCAATCAGTGTTCTGGAGATTTTGGAAATTATCAGATCTTTGAGTGTTCTCATTCATTCTTCTAACACGATCAATTAGAGATTTGAAAGTCTACAATCATTGTTTTGAGGTTATGGTTGTGATCTAGAGTTCTGAGTGCCTTTAATCACTTTTCTGGCTAGGAAGTTTGGATCTGATTCTAGTTATTCAGATTTTTGAAAGTTTGAAAGAAATCAGCTTATCTTTTATGGTTAACTTGTTGTTCTTCTATCTGGTTCTTAATGTCATTGGTGTTTGCTTTGGCATTTCAAGCTGATGTTGTTATCCCATTTTTTGAGCTTACCAAGATCAAGTTCTTAAGTTGAATGCTTATTCAACTCGTGGTTCACTAAAAGATTCTTTGTCATAAGACTATTTGCACTGGAACCTCAAGTAACTCGCACATTTATTTATCTCATAGTTGGATGAATTAGTTGCTTGTGGGCAAAGTGGTGATTATGAGGTTCAAGGTTGTGTTGAGTTGTCTGCAGTTATAGTTGTATTTTGTGCAATCAGTGGTGCTGAACTCACATTGAATCTTATCTTAAAGTTGAAACTGAATAACAAGAGCTTTATTCAGGAGGGAGCTTGAAGATTTCTTTAATGTCGGACACACTAAAGTTTTCTTAAAGAAAGCAGGGGGGAGAAGACATGAAGGTTTCGAGAGATGGTTGCTTTATAAACTTTGGGCGGGGGGGGGGGGGGGGGGGAATTGTTAGGACCAAAATAGTCCTAAGTATAAGAAAGTTTTATAAAGTTCTTTTACTTGTATTGTATTGTAATATCATTGTAATCGGGTTTAAGGGCAAATGGGCTTACATTGTAAATGTCACCTATAAATAGGTGACATGGGCTTAGAATTATTAGTTGATCATTCTATATTCTAATGAGAGTCATGTAAGTGAGAGAGAGCTTTGTTAGTTTACAGTTTTCATGAATAAAGATAAACTGGACGGTTCATCAATATTCATGATCTTCATCTTAATTCTCTCATTTCATGTTTGTGTCTTGATTTGTTGTTAGATATGGGATTCCATACTTTTTGATGATTCTTCCAAGAGTACTATGATTGTTGTTTTCCTATAGTTTTATCTAGAAAAGACTTATGCTTGCTTATTGGTGGTAGTGGACTTTAAGCGGCCTAAGGCTCCAGTGGTTTTACTGTCTTGAGAAGTTTCTACGCTAAAATTTGTATATTACGTGTGTGTTATTGTTTGTTGTTTATTTCTGATTTTGGGGGTATACCCTATTTTTTTTGCATCCTCATATGTTCATATAAATAAGGAAAGTTCATATGTTCATATCTCATAGATTACTTCGTAGAGCATCGTATTAGTGGAAATCTGGTCATCATAATTTATCGTACCTAGTACCATGTTTTCATAGAAAAAATGTAAGATAATCTAAGCTATAATCAACCTTGTTTTGAACTCATTTATTTTTAAGTCCTCACATAAACTAACACCCTTTTCTCATGTTCAATTTTATCCTATGTAGTTTAATCATGTCTTCATATCAAATCCTATACATATAGCTTTTTGGATTAAAAAGTTGTAAGAAACCAATATCTAAAAAATTTGTGGTTTATTTAATTTAAAAAAATTAATTCAATGACTTATTCATTCAAACTAGGAAAGTTCAATTGTTTATTTATTAAGACAAGTTTATGGACTTGATCATTTAAAATGAAAAAGTTCGTTACATTTTTCTAGACTTTACCCTTTGATAAAAATATGTCGCTCTACCTATTAGGACCAACGTAAAATCTATATACATCTTATCATTTTTTATATCGTGAACTAGATTTAGGGGTGTCAATTATGTAGCAAGACAAATCAACCGATTCATGTATCAACTGTATCAATTTAATTGATATTGGTTGTAATCGGTTGATAGTATCATACCAACTATATAAAATTGGTTGAAATGTGATATTTAAAATTATATGTCATGGTACTATTGCACCATACCAACTTATTTTTAAAATTGTTTATTAATCATTGTTGAATAATAATAACATATTTTGATTAATTAAATTTTTAATTCGCTTATTTTCTATTTTTTAAAATTCTAAATTTCTATTAATTAAAGATTATTTAAAGAAAGCACATTCTTTCATTTGAGGACTTCCTCGTTACTCTTTGAGGATAAAGGTTATTTTAATTTCGAATTTTTGTAATTTGTATTAGTGAAGTTTTTATTATTTATATGAAGGTAATTATCGTTTGTACGTTAAATATAAATTATATCAACACATGTTAAAGTGTGATTTGAATGCTTGACAGTTTCGGTGCATCTACTTGATAAAAATATCAATATAAATTAAACATATAACTTTAACTTTAACGATGTTGATACAAAGACTTTCTAAAATGTACCAACTCTTTTGAGTTGGTACAAGTAGAGTTGTTTGATTGGTACAAAAAATATTATACCATATATCAAAAAAATCGGCTTGTACCAACCTTACATAGAAAAAAAAAACATAATACCAGTATCATGTTCACCTTTTAACTGGATTTGTTTGGTTAAGTGTTTTTAGTGAAACTCAATGAGATTGGTAGGAAGGCTTGAGGAATGAACATGGAGCTTTCCAAACAAAGACGATACCAAGTCGCAATAAATATGAACAAATCTCACAAGTTCAACTTTGAAAAATCGACTGAATCATCGTTTGGAACTGTTTGCATCATTTCATCATCACGACAGAGTTCACAATCTTCGCTCGTAGGCATTATTTTCAAACAATGATCAATGTTCTTCTCTAGCCACGCCAAACGCCTTTCGAAATTCAACACTGCAACATGCATACTCCTGACATCGAGTTGCGCCACTCTTGCACAAGAACGCAGTAAAATGTAATAATCTGCGTGTGCCGCGTATGTGTAGGCCCCATCGCCTTTTTTTCTCGTGTAGTGTAGGTAATCGGATCGTTTGACTTTGGTCCTTGGAGGGATATAATAGAATTTGTTCTCTTCCATGTTCGATATCATTCTTTTTATCGCTATTTCTTTGTGGGACCCCTTAGAGTCGTCGACGCTAATTTGGGCATCATCGTCTTTAGGTTTCTTGGTCTTGTTCGTTTTTCTTTTGGAACTATCTCGAGGTCTCTTGTGGGGACCACAAGTAGGGATCGAGAAGCGAGACTCCAGAGGACTTGATTGTTTATGGTCCTGCGATAAATAACCAAAAGAGATCATGAAACTTATGTAGCCATACCAAACAAAACGAACCCAGTATGCACAAAAAGCCCGGAGCCTAGCCCGAGCCTAACATGGAAAAGCAAATAAAATCGGGGACTGAAAAGGTTACATCGGGTCCATTTTCACACAAAAATATCCCAGCCTGCCAAAACCCTGGATTTTTTTTGCTCACGAAAAAGGGGCTTGGAATGCCCAGGTCTATACCCAAAGCCTTGTGCATCTAAGGTAGGGTCTAGATAGGGTAGGATGTATGTAGACTACCTCTACCCGGGGTAAAGAGGTTGTTTCTGTAAACAAATGAAACTTATGTACATCAAAAATTCCATACACATCTCTCCTTGATTCAATCATCTCACATGTACATGAACATTGAAAAAGAAAAGAGGGACAATATATTGATCACAACTCCATATACAGAAAGAGAATGATTTGATTTTCAAAGCATCATAGCTGCATTTTGGTGTAAGCAAACCATCATTTCTACTAAAATGCAAAAAAGCAACCAAGAAAAACATTATGCTTTGTATGAATGAGATTTTGACAAAAAGATGCTCTGTTTTGTATTTACATTTCCACAATCCATCCAAAATTGCCCATTCCTGCAAATTACTGTAACTTTGATGGCATTTTTGCAAGAACAATGGCTAGTTTGCAATGAAACACCCATAACCCAATTACAAAAGAATGATGAAAACAGATAAAATGCAACGAACGATCGATATATCGCAACTGCAGACATCATTTACTTGCTAACCATGAACTATGTGAAAATATACCAAGTACTCAAATAATTTTTTATGATCTTTCTACCATTGGGGAGAATCTTGTATTTATTAATGATTTACAAGATTATCTCAGACAATGAGTCAGAGACAAAGTCTAATTAAACATGATAAAGACTAGCTAATAATCTACTTAATCTTGCATGTTTTCAGCACTCCTCAAGTTGGGTCATTTAGTAATTTACCAATTTTGTCTCGTCTTTCTTATTTTTGTTCCACCTATTTTGGTTGGACAAAATGCATTTGTCTGGTTCAATCCTGCCATGTCTCAATCTAATGCCGACATAGAACAAGTTCTTTTTTCTGTCAGGTAGCGTTTGCCGTTTGGTGTGCAAACCATACGGGACGAGACATGACAAAAATACCTAATTATGTCTTCCATGTGGTACAACTAGAACAGTACTGGACTAATTGCCTGTATTGCGTTTGGTAAGATGGAGAGGACAAAACTGTTAAAAATGACCAGATTACCCCTAAAAAAAATTATGTTCTTTTAATCATATAATAATTATAAATGACACAAATCAACCAAATATTTAAATAATTCTATTTATAAAATCTAATATTCATATTCCACATTTTATTTTATTTTACTTTATATATATATGCATATATACACACACTTAGGCACACTTACGCTTGAGTAGGAACTATATATATATATATATATGGACGGGCATGGGGGCATTTTTGTAATAAAGATAAACTTCAATGACAATGATCTGAGCCGGACACGGAGCTTAACATATGTTAAACCCCCATGAAATACGTTAACATTACTGAAACTGTCTTAACATACATGAAATATTCAACTTTGATGTAAATTAACACGCCATCACAAGAAAAACCAAAACCACCATTTTAATCCTCATCTTCAGTGGGAGGGTTTGTGTCGGTGATGGAGGTTCCCTGGAGGATGGGTGAGTAGACAGACTAGAGGTTCAGGAGGTTTTGCATCAGTGATGGAGGTTCACCAGGAGGATGGGTGAGCAGACGAAATGGAGGTTCACCGCGAGGATAGGTAAGCAAAATGGAGGCTCACTGGGAGGACAGGTAAGCAGACGGAATGTAGTTCACCAAGAGATTTTGCATCGATGATGGAGTTTCACCAAGAGGATGGGTGAGCAAACAGAAAGGATGGTTGGTGATAGTAGACAGAGTGTGAGAGCAGTTGGGAAGGAAAAGCCGATGGGTAAGATTGTACAAAGTGTTTCTGTCCCAAGTTCTACCTTTTTGGGTTGCACTAAAAAACCCTATTTTTGTGCCTCTAAAAACTCATTTACTCCCATCCTGTCCAACCTTGTTCTTGTTCCATGTCATACCAAACATGGGACTATATTTTTATATGGGATGTGCCTAACTGTCATTCTACAAGTTTTGTCTTGTTCTTATCTGTTCGATAAAAAATGGAACAATTATATTTATTGGGTTGAATAAAAATTCAATTATATCTTTTGATAAAAACATTTCGGGGAATAGGGTATTAATATATGGAAGCGGTAAAGCCATGGGATTCATAAGATAGGGCACTACCGACCACGAACTTTTGAATGGATTTATGTGCCTTCTCATGACATGTACATGAAGAACGAGAGCACCAGTCGGTCTATCAGTTGGGTTTGGAGAGTTTTCAGGTGAATTTTAATTCAGTCTAGATGATTTATGTGTTTGGTAAGCTACCATCAGGTGTGGAGTCTGAAACCGGAATTTAGGGGTGAAGTTTGGAGAATAGAATCGAATGGATGTTGACACCAACGTATAAAGGACTTTTTACCAATTCAGATAAGATGTGACAGAAATTTTGTGATAATCTACTGGGGAATCAGATTGTGAAGTAGTAGTATTAGAAAAAGATGAGTTTGGTTCATCCAAACTAACATCTAGAGAGGTAATGGCACCCGAATATTTCATATGGCCAAGGTTTTAAAGAATGAAAACGAGCCTCAAGGCGTTTTCTCCTTAGGTATGTGATTCGTAAGCCTCGAGGCAGTTGAGGCGTAAGCTAGAAAAAATAAAATAAAAAAAAAGATTCATAAATGTATAACACTTAACGAAACAAACATAATTCCATATATACACTAGTATGTGGCAGCATAATACACCAAAAAACAGAATATACACACACATATAGTATATATGTAAACAGTTGCACACTTTTATATGACACCATAATACTCAAAAACAGAATATATATTTATATATATGCTTGTATTGGCAGCATAATACACAGAACCAGAATATATATATATATATACACACACACACACACACTATAAATGTATGCAACGTGAGGAAAGAGTAGTAGGCAGCAAGTTCAAAAACAGAATATGATGTATAATTATACATATATAATATACTAACAAAGAAATATACATACATATATGTAGTATACTCAGCTCAGAAATATATATATATATATATATATATATATTAATACATATATTTTTTATTAGTATATTGTATTATATATAATAATTATACTAAAAAATATATGAATCAATATATGTTGCAAATCTGAATGCAACCAGAACACAGTTGAATGGATTCCAGCACTGAGTGGGAATATATATATGGGTGAAAATGGAAGTTATGGTGAGAAGAGTGAAAAGGGATCACCACCCTTGGATCAATCCTAATTGAATATCAACACTAATGAGATGCACTGAGATGTACAGGATCAATTCCAATATCAAGCACAATTCATGGGATGGGGGTGAGATTAAAAGTGATCAAGGGTCTAGATCCCTTCTTACACTTCTCACTTTAACTCCTATTCTCACACGATCCTTCATCTCTCTCTCTCTCTCTCTCTCTCTCTCTCTATATATATATATATATATATATATATAGTAGGGAATGACGGTATTTGACCAAATAAGATCGTCCAAATCCTATAGAACCTATCACTAAAATACCCCTAGAGAGGGATACCCACAAATGCCTGTATTTTTCAGTTACATCCGGATCTGTAGAACTTTCTGGTATAGTTCTTTCAAATTTCTCAACCCCCTTTTTATTTTTTTACTAGTTAAACGTCGATCGCACCCACATTCAGCTATCTATTAATGCGTTCCCAGGAACAACCACCCTTTCTTCTTTTGAGTACCACTCTTGGGAGGAACATCCTTCCGCTAGCCTTAAAGCACCTAGCTCCTTAACCTTCCTCGTATTAGTGACACGTCTTCGCTCATGATCGCTTAGAGCCTTTAAAAGATAGGGGTGCGGGAGCATAATACTTAATACTAATGGGCAAGTAAGTACAGGAACAGCCCTAGAGTAAAAGGGAAAGCTGCAAGTAGGATTGAAGAACAACATTTGCTTGAATTCCTTGCCTCACCCTAAGATGAGAGGGAAGGTATCTCCACCCTTGTATCAATCCTAATTGAATCTCAACACCAATGAGATGCACCGAGATGCATCAAATCAATTCCCATATCAAGCGCAATACATGGGACGGGGGTGAGATTAAAAGTGATCAAGGGTCTAGATCCGTTTTTATGCTTCTCAGCTTAACTCTTTTTCTCACACGATATATATATATATATATATATATATGTATATATATATATATATATAACTTTTGGGTTCCAGCACTAAGAGTTGGATTCCGGTGAGAAGGAAAGTTATGGTAAAAAAAAATCTCCACCCTTGGATCAATCCTAATTGAATGTCAACACTAATGAGGTGCACCTAGATGCACCGGATCAATTCCCTTCTAAACCGCAATTCATGGGTGGGCATGAGATTAAAAGTAATCAAGGCTTCAGATCTCTTCTTACGCTTCTCACCAAACTTCCCTTCTCACACGATCCTTTGCCCCAGCACTATAAATGGGAGAATAGAAACATTATTATATATAATGCATCTTCGTGATTGTATGAAAGACAGAGAATAAAGACCTTAGAAATAGCTTCGTTGATTGGCTGATCTACTTAGATAAATAAAAAACAAACTTATGTGAGAAAAGGTACGTATCAAGCAAATGACAATTTTTCGGTTCAATTGTACCATTATTTTTAGGCGTACAAGCACATTTATCTAATACTCAACATCCTCATATCTCCTTGCGTATGTATATCAAAAAGAATAATAAATACACAATGCAAAGAGCAAGCAAGAAAACGTACCTCTTCCTTTCGATAAAAATTCCAAAGGTCCTCTATTATTTGTTGTTCCTCATGATCCTCGAATGACAGTTCCATACCAGCAAAAACCACATCCTTACAGTATTCAAGATACGTTTGCAAATCCTTACAATGATCTATCAAACATGGGCAATGCAATATGTCAGACAATACTAAGCATATTTAACAACTTGGCCTATTGAAAGAGGAAAAAAAAAGTTGATTAAATTTCATGCAAATCAAAAGTTTGAATCATTTATAACATTTTCAGATCATGGCATAAAGTTAAAGGGAACTTGTAACAACTTACCACTTGTATCAATGAGCTCATTGTATTTCGATTGAAGTACAACTAAAATCTTCGTAGCATCCCAGTTGGATTTTCTCGGTAGCTTATTATATGGCTTTCTATCAGAATCATCGCTATCATCATCATCATCTTGCAACTTGGGATTAATCAAAATATATGACAGCTCAGCAGCACTATTTACATCAACATTATATTCGGATTCCGCCTCTTTTTCTTTATCAGCATCAATATCCGAAATGTTCAAATTTTTTCCATCTTCTCTCTTGCCAGCTGATGAGGATCGCTTAATGGCAGAAGATAATGACATTTCCCACTTCCCAAAACCATGTATGTTGTAAAGGATCCTAATTGAAACTATAAGTATAGACAATACACAAGCACGTGTAGGAAGCCTGAAGTCGTTAGCTGATAACCACAGCTCTGGTGGCATAGACCACTCATATATGCGGCATGCATGAGGGAGAATAGTCTCAACAGGAAGAGATAACTGCCTGAGATAACGAGAAGCAATTGCATAGAAGTTGACTGGAGGTAATTCCAAATCTATTGAATGTGCAATACAAGCTGCCAATGATTCCAACTTTTGTATAGAGATCGCCTGTATAGGTCTGAACATGCGACTTGAACTTAGAGGGCAGGCATTAGTATGGGGTCCAATTTGTTTCTCGATTTCAACAAAAGCAGCAAAATAAGGAAGCTTTCCATCAAGCGTCCACTTCACTATATCCGTCGACAAGATTGGCTCCCTTGCCAAATGGCACACCAGAAAAGAAATTACTAAAGAATAAGATAAAGGAATTGTTTTGCTCACATATTGGTACCATATCATTACAGATCGTTTACCAAGTATATTATGAGGTTCAGCTCTATGTCTAGCCCTAGGCCCAACAACTTCTGTTTCCCCTGAAATGAAATCAGAGTATGTGGGTTAATAAGAGTTGACAGTTACTGAAAATGAGAAAGGGTTAGCATACTGCATATCAGAAAGAAAAAAAATAACAGTTGATTATAATTTATACCTACCCAAAGTAGTTGATAAAAACTTTGAAAAACTTTGGAAAAAAGCTCTATCAAGAGAATTTGAACTCCAACATAAAAGGCCATCACCATGGAAATTTGAACTCCAACATAAAAGGCCAGCTCTGCTCATTTAATTCAAATGTACCATATTTTTGGTCATATTGGTCAAGCAACTTCCATGTGAAGTTGCACTACTAATGAGTCTAATGTGCATGAAATTGTTACAAGATATACGAAGTACTCCAAGATGAAATTGAAATAGGAAAAAGTGTTCCCATACTGTAAATGCAGACAAAAGAGCCTAGCAATTGGAAATCGCGTGACAAGTTAACAAAAGGTTCAAAGTTATCCTGAGAAGACGTTTTAGAACATGATTTACATTCTGCATAATAAATGTGAAATACCACAGAACAAAGTAGCACCTTAGGTACATCTCCTCCTCCTCCTCTTCCTGAGTGTAGAAGCACTTGTATTCCAGTAGAAAGAAAGGACACCAATTTCATATGCTTTTAATCAATGAAAAAATAAAATATATGGCCTTCAAAAGGCAAGTATCTTCTCTCAATTGTGTTCCTAATGCATAATATGCAACGCTGTCTTCTTTTCCATTAGATGTGTAGCATATAAAAAATGTACATAAATTAAGAAATATAGAAAGTAATGACATTTTGACAAAAATTTGCTATTTAGTCAACCAAAACCTTCTTTTGGATTAAGTCATCTAGATGATTGACCAATGCTAACAGTAGAAATATAAATATTTGATCATACGTCAGTTCCATTGCTTAACTTTCTATATTAGACAACGGAACCAGAAATAAGAAAAGCATCAAGCTCACTTGAATTTTTGAGAGCCTCAAAGAGCAGGGCATTTCCAGGAGCATAAATAAAACAGTTGCAGGGTGCACAATAATGCAGCTAGCCAGAGTATTTCTCTTTTTTGAAATATAACATACCAAAGAAAACATAAAAATACCTTGTACTTGAGATTCTGATTCATTAATAACCTCATCCGCCCAGTCATCAGTGAAAATCTGAGTTGATGCCACAAATCTTAACCAAACGGGTTCGACCATGCCAACAATTATGGGACACACGTTAAACTTTTCAACCAAAGCCTTAATCTGCAGCTCAATCATTATCTGGACTCCCATCACATACCTCATCCTAATTTCTGAGTAATAATCTTCATAACTCAATGTTCTAGGGCCTCTCCCAAAATCAACGGGCTCGGTGGGACCAACACCATCACCTGCTTCAGCATCATCCTCTTGGGTCCTTAAAGTCTCCCAAAATTGTGAAGGAGGTTGGGACTGGGAGACTGGCTCAGTTTTAACAACGGGTACACGCCTTTGAACAATACCCCCTACATTCTCCTTGGTCAAAAGCATCTCATCATTATCAACAGCAGTGTCCCTAATTCCATCAGCTTGAGAGCCACAACGCTGACAGTAAAAGAAGCCATCACCACCATCGTCCAAGCCCACAAAGCCACAAACTTGGCATTCCAAACCCAATCCACTAGCCATCTATGCAGGTATAGATGTGACGTCTTCAAATATTGTGCCTATAAAGACATATAAGGTGTGTGAAGGCGAAAGGAAGTTGGGTCAGATTGAGTAACAGTTCAAAATGGGTTAGGGTACTAATCATCGAGGCGAATGGGCAGTTTTTTTAAGAGCGGATCAAACAGGTTTCAGGTTGGGTCGCCAACACTTGTTGTCTTTCATAGCTAAGTCTCCTTTTTTTCTACAAAAAAAAACAAATAACTAGATAACGTTAAGCATATTAAGCAAGCAACTAGATAAAAACATAGAAAACAAAGTCAAACTAAACCACCAAAAATCACATTTTGTTTTTTTACTTTCTACTATCTCTATAAAACAATCCTATGTAAAAGAATCCACCTTTGAAGCCAAAGGGTTCTTATCCATATGCAAACAATTTCATTTGCATCCATCGTATCTCCTAGATATTACTTTGTAGAGCATCGTATGAGTTAAAACTTGGTCGTCATAATTTATCATAACGATTACCATGTTTTCATAGAAAATAAGTAAAATAATGTTAAGTTATAATGAACCTTGTTTTAAACTCACTTATGTATCCAATCACATAAGCTCAAGGGTTTTCCCTCCGGAACACAAGGCGTAAGCCTCTAGGCGGTCCGAGGCATAAGTCTCGGGGTGTAAAATAATATTATATATGTAATACTTAGCTGATAATAATATTCAGAATCATAATGTTGATAAAAAAAAAGTCTATAAATACTTTAATTTATGTCACTAATTGTTAAAGATTTTTATTTTTTAATAAAAACAAATTAGAGAAACAATAAAAGTCACCCACATAAAGAGAAACATTAAAAGCCTCCCACATAAAGAGAAACAATAAAAGTGACACATATGTCAAGAGTAGAACAAAAGTCACTTCTCCTATGTAAAATCGGAGAGTCCTTATGCACCTCCCAAGTCGCATCCCTAGTGCGTAGCCTTACTGTAAAAAAACGGAAGATCACACATAGCAATAAGTTTTCTTCTTCAATGGCCATGCACAAGGACAAAGCAAGGCGCAGAGGTTTCTCTTTAATGGGTCATCAATCGATAAGTACATTTTCTTTGATTTGGCATATTTTTTAACCCTAAAGTCTTAGTACCGCCTAATCCCCGCCTCAGACCCACCTCAGTAGTTTGAGGCGCACGACCCAACCAACCTAGCAGAGGCGCCGCCTCAAGAACGTTTCTTGACCGCCTTGCCTCGAAGCGCCTCAAGGAGTACGCCTCGGCCCTTTTTAGCAACCATGCATAAGCTCACTTTGAGTCCTCACAGAGACAATGCCAATAAATTGATTAAAAGTAATAGTAGCAAACGAAGAAAGCCAGGTACAAGGTAATCTCAACATCAATCCATGTTATAGAACAAATTTCAAAAAGTATAAATTCAATAAAATCTCAAATCAGTTTCAAGTAAATACAGGACCTCAACAAAAACTTTTTTTCCAAAGTCCCTTAATACAAATAATCAAAGGAAAAAGGCAAAAGAATTATTTCCTACATTGTCAAAAACCTTTTTAGTTCTAGAGCAAATGCTTCATCCCCAAACAATTTCAAACTAGACTGATAAACCTCCTATTCGTTTCACTTACAGGAGGAGGTGTTAGTGGGTAAAGGGTCTTAGCTGCTATTGTAAATAAGTGAAGGGTATTTTTGGTACTCTTGGGTAGAATAAGGCGGCAAGTCTCCTTTAAGTGGAGCTGGGCTGTTAGTAGTGTGGATATTCTGTTTTTGGTATTTTCAAAGTGAGTGTAAACTCTTTGGGAGAGAACCAGACCTCTCGAAAGTCTGGAATCATCCATTTTCTGTTTTGATTGCAATATACAACCGAGAATTGCTGTCAGTTTACATCAAATTGGTATCAGAGCGGTAAGATCCAGCCATGGCGACAAGGAGTGCGGCAACAAGAATTGAAGATTTAGAAAGTAGCGTCGGTTCGATCGAGAAAAGTTTGGAACGAATTGTACGGCAGATTGAGAAATTAAGCAGCGAGGTGGCTAGTAAATTGAATTCAACAGGTTCGGCGGATGGAGAAGACGTGGACGATTCAGGAAGATCGAAGAGGAGGAACGATGAAAAACAGAAATCGAGTCGATTCCTAGCTGTGAAAGACCGGAAGCTTGAAATTCCAGCGTTTGACGGAAGCGATCCAGATGGTTGGGTTCTCAGAGCAGAACGCTATTTTTCATTGAATCGATTATCACAGGAAGAAAAAATTGATGTTGCTTTCATAGCATTTGAGGAGCATCTTTGAAATGGTTTCAATGGGAGAATAGACGTCATCCAATTTTACGTTGGGAGGATCTGCGTAGATTGATTTTGCGTCAATTCCGATCAATGGCGGCAGGAACTTTATGCGAACTGTTTCTGGCTGTTAAACAAGAAGGTACGGTGGAGGAATTTAAGATGAAATTCGTGGAGTTGGCTGCACCATTAGAAGGAATTCCAGAGGAAGTGTTTATGAGTCAATTCATAAACGGTTTGGAAAATTCAATTAAGKCGGAGGTACGTCTCTTAAGTCCAGTAACGTTGGAGGAAGCAATGGAGTTAGCAATAAAAATTGAAGTGAAGAATGTTGTGATTGCAAAAGAAAGGTCGATGTCTGGATCGAAGAAATCGTTAGCTATGTTTGCGGGTAATAGGAGTATCCCTGGTAGTACTAATTCAGGGAATAATTCTAATACGGTGGTTAATTCGACGACCAGAACGGGATCTGAATACAGAAGATTGTCCGATCAGGAGGTACAACAGAGGCGAGCCTTGGGTCTCTGTTATCGTTGCGATGAGAAATATTCACCGGGCCATAAGTGTAAGAAGAAAGAATTAAATGTTCTGCTGGTTCAGGAGGAAGATGTAATAGAGTCGGGTGACAGTAGTAATGAAAATACAGCATTAAACGCAGTTGATGTGGTCGATGTGGGTCAAGACGTGGAGGTTCATCTTAACTCGGTGGTGGGATTAACGAATCCTAAAACCATGAAGATGGAAGGATTCATTGAAAACCAAAAGGTTGTAATTCTCATCGATAGCGGTGCGACACACAATCTCATTTCGAATGAGATTGTTAAAAAATTGAATCTCAAGGTCGATCAGACGAAGGAGTATACTATAACGATGGGGACGGGGAATAAGGTGAGGGGAGATGGAATTTGTAGACATGATATTTTGACGGTGCAAAGCTTAGACGTTGTCGAGGATTTTTGCCCATTCAATTGGGTAATAGCGATGTGATTTTGGGTATACAATGGTTAGAAACTTTGGGATCGACCTATACCAACGGGAAGCAGCAGGTTATGAAGTTCACTGTCGGGGGAAAGTCGGTGGCATTGAAGGGTGATCCAGCATTGGGTAGATCTTTAGTTTCATTGAAGGCTATGGGAAAACTAATCCAACAGGAAGGTCAAGCTGTGTTAATGAAGTTTGGGGCTTGTATGTTGACAAGTGAAGTGACTCAAGAAGTTTTACCAACGGTACAAACTGTTTTGAAAGAATTTGATCCTGTCTTTAATATGCCACCGGGGTTACCACCGATAAGAGGTAAGGAGCATGGGATTATTTTGAAAGAGGATACGGATGCAGTTAATGTAAGGCCCTATCGCTATCCTCATTATCAGAAGGACGAGATCGAAAAATTGGTAAAGGAGATGTTAGAAGCAGAAATTATAAGACCGAGCAGCAGCCCGTTTTCAAGTCCGGTATTATTAGTAAAGAATTTTATATTATTAGTAAAGAAATTATAGACCACCAGAAAATCACTCAAAATTTTACTTCCACTATCTTTATAAAACAATTTTACATAAAAGAACCCACCATTGAAGCTAAAAGGTTAATCAATGAACATAATTTCCTTTTTGTTTGCATCAAAAATATCTCCTATATTAATTAGCATCTAATTAGCTAAACTTTATTCATAATTCCATCAAACTAATTACCAAATTTTCAAAGTAAAATGGGTAATACTTTAGTCAAAATCATCTCAAGATTTTTTAGCACATACACATACAAATTTATTTAGAGGTATATTTTAGAGCAATTTGGTCAAAGCTATTTCATAACTTTCAAGCATAAAAGACCTAAACCAATTTCAATTTACATCACCAGATCACCAAAACTAGCTTTTCTAAGCCCTAAATCAAGTGTAACTAAGAGATACATTGAGATCAAGACGAAGCCAGGATTTTTGATCGGGGTGGTCATCAAGTTTAAGAACATTAACCTACGTTAATTGTATTCTTCATTCCCTAATCACATAGAGGTTGTGAAATTAGGTGTGATTAATACGAGTAGAAAAAGATCAATTAGAGCAATGTGTAGGCATTGAGTAACATAACCCAAAGAAACTCAATTTAGCCTATCACCCAACTACCCACAAAATTTACAGATGGTAATTCATTAAGTTTTCAACTGAAACAAAAAAAATGGGAGGGTGGTTATCCTTCTTGACTGGGTAGGTGTTCTCAATTTGATTGTTTCCACTAACCTATATTATATTGAAAGTATTATTCTTAGAGGATTTCAACCTAATTCCAGTTTAATATACACAAAACGATTTCACTACATTGTCAAGATTCAACACTTGCAATTTTCAAACAGATATTCCAACAAGATTCAAGGAACTAACAAGTCATCAAGAATTAAGCAATTAGAAGTGTAAAAACTAAAGTTCCAAGTAATTAAAAATTTAAAGCTAATCAACTAAATCAAAGACAATTTGCCTATGAGTCTATGACAAAAAAGTTAAAAATTAAAAAAAAAAAGCAAGAAAAATGTGGGAAGTTTTAAAAGGTGTTGCTATACGCACACCTATTTACACCAAAATCATGTCAAATCACACCCAAGGGCGGAGCCATGATCTGGATTCAGGGTGGTCCTCTTAGAGTTGAGCTACGAACACTAAATTTGTGGGGCCAAATTTTTGTAGTCGACATGTGTAGCCAAGGAGAAATTTGCATACATATACCATCATGTGTTCAAAACTAACTACATATACAATTTTCAATTGCTAAAAGTGACCGTTGATTAATTAATTTGCATACTTAATACTTTTAGTTAATTAGTTAATTGGCATTGCCACTGTGAGGACTCAAAGTGAGCTTATGTGATTGGATACATAAGTGAGTTTAAAACAAGGCTGATATAGCTTAAGATTATTTCACTTATTTTCTTTGAAAACCTGGTAATTGGCATGATAAGTTATGATGACCAAGTTTTAACTAATACAATAAAATAGTAGAATATCAAAGTAAATTTTCTACCAAATTCATTGCCAAATGTCAATATATGAATTGAGCATATATACGATATGTTTAATAAAGTGTAAAGTTCAACAAAATGGTCCAAATTCATTGTCAATGTACTCAAACTCAATATATAATATATTTCAAATTGAATTCCAAAGGCAAAGATAGAGGTTGTAAATGTTCCACCAAATTCAACTTAGGGTGCGTTTGGTTTGCGGGAATGTTTTTGAGGGATTTGGATTCCCATGGAGGATTTGGATTCCATGGGATTTGGATTGGATTGGATTTAAAATCCATTCCTGTGTTTGGTTTGCAGGATTTGGATTTTTTTTAACAGCATATGAACTACAAATCGGAACTTTAATCGGAACAGCATTAATCAGAACAGCATATGAAGTACAAATCGTCACAAAATATGCAGAAATTGAAGTATAATATGCAGAAATCGAAGTACAAAT